TTCGGTCTTACAAACGCACCGACCACCTTTGAAAGCCTTACGAACAGATTGGTTGGTTTGTGGTGGTATATCTCGATAATATTCTAATCTGCGTAGCACGGAGAACGTGTTCGCGCCCCTTCACGTTTTCGTGAACAGCTCGCGAACATGTTCGGGCGAACATATTTTTTTTCGTAAAAAAAAAAATAATAATAAAAAGTTCGGTTTTTTATTTTTAACTCATGATTGGCTACGAATTTGAACATGACTCCAAGGCAAAAGTTGCTTGCATTGTTATTTTACATAACATATATGTTTTTCAGATTTTTTTGAGAACTGTTTTTTTTTTTTTTAATATTTTTTATGTTCACGATCGGAGGGTTTTGGGCGCTTGTTCGCGTTCGGGCGAACATGTTCCTGTTCGCCTCCGAACGCGAACACGGTGCTACGTAGATTCTGATCTTCAGCAAATCCATCGAGGAATATATGAAGTACCTTGAGGAAGTGTTCACCATCCTCAAGAAAACACAACTCCATCTCAACTTAGAGAAATCTGAGTTTGGGAGGGATAACGTCATCTATCTTGGGCATCAGTTGTCTACTGCAGGCCTAGAGGTTGAGGCAACCAAGGTTGAGGTCATACGGGACTGGCCTCAACCCAGAAACATCCGTGAATTGCGTTCTTTCTTTGGTCTTGCATCATACTATCGGAAGTTTGTGCCCCGATTCTCTATTGTTGCTCGTCCGTTGTCCTGATTGACAAGTAAGAATGTCTCTTACACATGGGATACAACGTGTGAGACTGCATTCCAAACCTTAAAAGAGGCCTTGGTAAGTTATCTTGTACTCCACCTTGCAGATTCCAAACAAGCATTCATAGTTACTACGGATGCGAGCCAGTATGGGATTGGCGCAATGCTGCAATAAGATGACGACGATGGCTTGTGGGCGCTCGAGTACTACAACAAACTCATGCCCAACGAAAAGGTAGCTACTTCCACCTACATGTGCAAACTCTATGCTTTGCGTATGACTTTGGACCATTGGTAGCACTATCTTTTGGGACGCCACCTCGAAGTGTTCTCAGATCATGAGAGTTTGAAGTGGATCAAAGAACAAACCACCTTGTCCCTTACATTACTTGGTTGGTTCCAAGATCAACATTTTTGACTTTGAACTAAGACACAAAAAGGGTTGTTATAATCGAGTTGTTGATGCGTTGTCTCGCCACCCCGAGTACATGACTTGCTTTGTGAATTCCTACGACCTCCGGAAGAAACTGAAGGAGGAGATCGTAGAACACACCGCCAAGGACCCGAACCTTAGTCCCATCCTTGAGCGGCTTCGGACTGACCCCAACAGTTAGCTTGATTTTCACGAATATGGAGGACTGTTTTTCCGACGCTATGGGAATAACGACCGTTTGTGTGTGCCCAACCATGAGCCTCTTCGCACACACTTATTGGACTTGGCTAATGGCCGGAGTGGACTTTTCGGCATGCCAAAGATGAACGGAAACCTATGGAGACAGTTTGATTGGCCTGGTATGAAGGGATCTGGTGAAAAGTTTGTGGCTGAGTGTCAACTCTGTCAACGAATCAAAAAGCCCATGGGGCTACTTACCCCTTCCCATTCCCGATGGTCCCGGGGAGTCTGTCTGTATTGACTTCACAGACATGGGAAAGGTAAGTCAGAACGACTATTCGCAAGTGATGGTGATTGTTAACCGCTTCTCTAAATTCCTCAATCTGATTCCTTTGCCATCTCATGCCCCCACTGAATTGGTGATTCGTGAGTTCGAACAGAAGTACATTCTGCAGTTCGGAACCCCGAAAACTCTTATGAGTGATCGGGACCCGCGCTTCATAAGTATCACATGGAAGGACTTCACGTCCCAACTCCTTGGCCTCAGACTATGCATGACATTTGGCCGACATCCCAAACTCTAAATTCCTCAATCTGATTCCTCCGTGAGTTCGAACATTCTGCAGTTCGGAACCCTGAAAACTCTTGTGAGTGATCGGGACCCGCGCTTACTTCACGTCAACTCCTTGGCCTCAGACTATGCATGACATTTGGCCGACATCCCGAAGCCAATGGTTTGGATGAGGAAATCAACCAGACTGTGTTACAACTTCTCCGCACTGAAATAATCATTTCGGATCACGAAACTTGGGATGAAGAGTTGTATTTCGTCAAGGGGTTGTACATCAACTCCATCCATTCTTCCACCAGCATGACGCCAAACAGGCTGCATTACGGTTGACAGATTTGTAATCCGCTCTCCCCCTTACTCCTTGAACCACCAGCTGGTTTTACACCCGGCAGGCCTGGCTTCAGGGCCAAGTACGATTGCTTGCTCAAAGTTGCCATCTCAACAATGACCAAGCGACAGCACGCAATGATCCATCATGCAAACAAGAAGCGATGACCTTCAGATATTGAAGCGGGAAGTTATGTCTGGGTCAAGATGTCTGAATTCTCAGAAGAAGAGGGAGTATCACGCTAACTTCTTCCGCTCTATTACCGTCCGTGGGAAGTTCTGCATGTAATTGGCGAGGATGGGTTTGGCCCCTCGTACACCGTTGTTGTGCTGCCTCATTTGCGCACATACCCCGTCTTTCATGCATCAAAACTGTATATCCACCACGATGCTCAGTCCTTCGATTACCACGAAGACATGATTCCCCGTGCGATCAATGGCGATCATGAGATCAATAGAATCAAACAGCACGTAGGAAAGGACGTAACAGACAGTACCAGGTTCACTTTATGTATCACCCATTGGACGATCTCTACTGGATCTCCAAGAAGGAACTGCTATGTAGCGCACCTCGTGTTGTTAAAGCCTACGAGCGACAAATTGCCTATAATGCTGTACCCAAAATCTCTGCAAAGCTCACTGTGATAGAATACTCTCGAAATCTCTTTGCTTTGTTTCCTTACCGTGCGTTTGTCGGGGACTCAGAATGAGTTACTCGCTCGAAGGGACCTCGCTCTTAAGGGGGGGGGGGGGGGGKAGYGTGATGACCCGACCAAACACGGACTGAGGCACACAGCTGATTTCTGAGTTTTGCTCATGGACTGAATGCCTTGCTGAGTTTCCCGCTTGCTACCAAGTTCTCAAGTCTGTGTGTGTGCATGCTTGCTGGTTTGCATGTCTGTCTGAGTGCTTGTTGGCTCGAGTGTGTGGGTGACCCGCAAGGGGACTTGTTCGTTCGTTGGGCCCTCAGGGCCGGTACTTACCTGTGGCCGTGACATTGAGGATTGCAGCGGGGAAAACGCTCAAGTGGTGGGGGAAGAGGCCTGCAACACTTGTAGCAGCAGGGAAACACTCAAGTAGCAGGTAGGCTGGTACCACACCCCGAAGAGGTAGATGTGCCGGGTACTTGAGGCCGAGCAGAAGAAGACAAAAGTTGGCATTTTTAAAGGCCCAGTAGTTGTAGTCTAGGTCTAGGCAGGTACCAGTCCAACCAGTCTGAGTCTAGGGCCTGTACGGGCAATATCAGAGTCTGCAATGATGTTTCGCTCTGAAAGGGAGGAGGTACAGGTTGCTTGGAAGGTCGAGCGGCCTGGAAGTCACTGCCCAAGAGGCAAGCAGGCCGCTATATCTCCCCGCCGGGCGAAGAGCCCAGCCTCATTGTCGGTGTGCAAGTTTGGCGACACACTGGTTGGAGCGCTGGCTGGAGCAGCACTAGCTTGGAGCAGCGCTGCTGGGGAAGGAGCAAGGACACGGAGGAGGAAGAAGACCAGGAGGAAGGGGGAGGGCCAGAGGTACTTACCTGGCTATGGTGGCAGCCATCTTCATCACCTTGGTGGGCGCTGCAGCAGGAAGGCCCCCGTTGGGGCAGAGCAACACCAAGAAGCTTCGAGGCAGAGTCAGACATGGCGGCCTGAGCTAGAGCAGCCATAGCTGCTTCGTCTTGTCCTTTGGAGGGCCAGGTCATGCCCCAGTAGTGCGCTATAGCCTTGGTCTAGGAGGAAGAAGGAGAGAGGCAGCCATGGCTATGGTGGACCTCAAGTGATACCTGCAGTAGAAGAGGGATTCGGACATTGATTCTGGTTCAGCCATTCGACATTGTACTATTTATTTCTTGTGTGAATAAGAGAGGAGGAGTAAAGGAGGAGGAGAGTGTTTGGCGAAGAAGAAGAGCTTTATCATTTGTCTATGCTGGTGTACATCATCTTCTTCTTCTTTCTTTCTTCTTCGTCTTCTTCTTACCCTCTCTCTCCTCTCAAGTTCATTCATTTCTTTTTGCAATTGGACAGCATTGTACTATCTGATGAATGTGTACTTCGAAATTGGCCAGGATCATAACACATAGCAATATGGAAAGATTCAGGCCTTGTGGGAAGAGAAGTGCCCAGCGATTCACTTTTTTTTTGTGTGTGTGCTCGCTGGGCCCTGGAAAGGACACCTGCGGCCCAGAAAAAAAATCAACACCCAGTGCTTTGCTTTTTTGTGTTTTCTTGTTCATTGGGCCCGCACCAGGCCCACGCCTTTCCCAACACAGGGCAGCGGAGTCCTGGGTGGGAGTGTCACGCAAGACCCAGATTTTGCTTAATAAGAGTAAGGGAAATAGCATCATTTGTTCGTTTCTCCATGGATTGTTCCATTGTGGGTCTGCAGTTCATTGGGGGTTTCATTTCAGGAGTTCCATGTCTCATGCCCTAGCCATGCAGAACCTTAAGCAGGGACACAAGAGAAAGAGAGGAGAGGAAGGTTGCTGGAACACAAACGAGGAAGGATATTGAAAAGGGAAAATAACTACAGTGGAGAGGGAGGTGACTTGCCGGCCAACAGAATTGCAACTCTTCGTATAAGGTTGTCAGTCTACTGCACTCTGAACAATGAGTTTTGAGTTTCCTCGGACATCCGTTTTGTGATTTGCGTTTCAGTCTAATACAATATCAAGTTCTTGATTTGTCGCTTAGAATCCAACAGCGTTTATGAACTGGATGAGTTTGCCATACAGGCTCTTTGCTGAAACAAAGTTTTTGGCCTTTTCCTTCCCAAACAGGCTTAACTGGTTATCAGTCAGACCAGCGGAAATGCTGCAACGACTGCGAGTTCAAGAGAGCGTCGAGGGCAGCCCTACCCGTATTGAATGCACGCCAAGTTGATTGGAGTGTTCTTCATTCTTTGTATATTCGGATTCTTGCACGGTATAGTGCCTTCCAAAGCAGTGCATACCTCTCTTTTATCTGTGTGAAAGCCAATTTCCCTCCTTTCCTTTCTGTGAAGGGCAGGAAGTGCCAGGAACATAGCTCTTCCTTGACATTCAAAGACTAGCTGTGTTAGGATACACCTGGGCATCTGTACGTCCAGGTCTAGATCATGCACTTGGGCATTGTTCACGTTCAGGTGCATCCTGGCAGGGCTGGTTATGCCATTTTAGAATCAGAATCTAAGTGCCCTATTTCTCCCCTCCTCTGTTGTGGCCGAATGATATAAAGTGGTGGTGGCTCTTGTGGGGGGGTGGGGGACCAGGCTCGAAAAGCCTGCGTTCCTCACATAAAACGGTCAAAAGTGTGAAGCACCCTTCAGTGTTTTTGGAGTGGTTTCTGGGATGTTCTATTCGTGTTCTCTTTTGGTTCAAGGGCCGAAAGGGTGTAAAAGTCTTGGAATAAAATGCTATTGGATGTGGTTCTTATCATGCAGTTGTTTTCTATGCTCTATGTAAGATGTTCTGGACTTCAGAGCAGCAGACCAGAATGCAGTTGTTTTCTGTTCTCTATGTAAGATGTCCCAGATTCCAGAGCAGCAGACGAGAATGAAATAAATCTTCAGCTGGTTTTTGGGGGTGAACACCAGGTGGTGCTGGTGTATGGAAGAAGTGAAGTCTAGCAAGAGAGGTGGGAGGGAAAAGAAAAGAGAGAATTTCCAGAGTAGAAAACAGGTGGGAGGAGTTGTGCATGGTATATACCATGGTAACCGCGGATTCAGACACCGGACACTTCCGGACTGTATTCCGGACGAGTGTCTGGACCGGGCCGAACTGTCCGGTGATCCAGGAACGATCGGACCCGGACAGTACGGACCGGTGTCAAGGGGTGAAAAATGTCCGGACCCAAAAAAAAAAAAAAAAAAGGGGTTGGCATGCACTCACCTGCTTTGCACTTCGTAGTTCAGGCAGCAGAGCACCTGCCTTGCAGCAAATCTACAAGCACATTCAACTAGCAGACATGCAGAATTGCAAACAGTGCAAAGCAGGCACAAGACTAAAGAGAGAAAAAAAAAAAAAAAGTTTGATTAACTCTGAAGTTTGAACTTTGAATTAAGTAATTTAAGTTCATAACTTCATATAAGTTGAAAGTTTGAACGTTGAAGTTCAATTCAGAACTTCAGAATATTCAGACTGGGAGTACTGTCATCTCTCTCTCTCTCTCTCTCTCTCTCTCTCTCTCTCTCTCTCTCTCTCTCTCTCTCTCGTGCGCGCGTGCTCGTCAGTGGGATGTTATGCAGTTTAGATAGGGCTTCTGATTCGGAGTCGCCCTCTTCCTCCAACAAACTGTCGTCTTTCTCATCGCCTTCACTTTCATCCTCCTTGCCACCTCCATTGGTCCCATTGCTGCTGCCACTCCCGTCACGACCATCGCCACTGCCACCACTTTCATCGCTGCTTGTCCCTTTTGGTGCTGCTTCCCCCTCCTCTCCTTCCGTGGTCGTCCGCGCTTTCTTTTGACATGTGTGGGTGCAGGACCACCCGCCAAATTGCCATCTCAACCTCCTCATCACCTGTCCCCCGTTGAGTTGCAGCCTCCTTCCAAGGTCTCCCCCTCCCTCGTTTGGTCGGGATCGAGGTCGGTGCACATGCAATTGCCCTCGCAGCTTTGTATTTGTTGGCATGCTCAATGGTCATGGTCCTTGTGGCCTGATCCAACTCATGCAAATGTTGGAGGGGCCAGAAAATTGGAAGCCTTTGTGGCCTTCCTCCATGACTCGTTGAGCTCCCTCTCGAGCTCAAGCAGATTGCTGTGCAGCCGATGACGCTGGATTGTGAACTCCTCTCGAGCTGGCGTTTGTGGTAGGAATGTCGTCGTCGTTGTCAGAGCCTGATTCATCGCTCTCACCTGCATCAGGAACCGGCTCTGTTCTGTGAAGCCGGGCACGCCACTCTGCCAACCACAGTCGTGCATCTGCTGCCATCTCATCCCGTGTGAGATCTTCCGCCAGTTCATCCTCTTCCCATTTCGTAGAATCCTTATCAGCCTTTGGCTTCTTAATCAAGGCATCCAACAAACACCGGTTCCATCTGTTGAAAACCAGCGTGCTAAGCTTGATGGCACCGAGGTTGTTATGGAGACGGCTATGAATCCGCTCTTGCAACAAGAGCAGGAGGACGCTTGTCCAAGCAGACGAAAGACTTGTTTCTGGAGGATGGGCATGTCACTGCACCATTTCCTCCGCCACCTCGCCGGCTGCAGCAGACCTGCTTGTGTCCGTGCACCTTCACAATTTTGTCTCCCGGTGCCCTCGATCCAAGAACAAACTCTGCGTCAACCTCAACATATGAAGATTCTTTGCACCAAGAGTAAACCCATATCAAAAACCCATTTGCAACCTCTGCGTCCGTTTCCAGCCGCGACGCCTTGTACTCCGGATCCACCCGGCTGCATCAAACCTGCATGTGTCCTTGCATCTTCACAATTGTGTCTCTCCGTGCCCTCGATCCAAGAACAAACCTATGCGTCGCACTACGAGTAAATCCACATCAAAAACTCATCTGCAACCTCTGCATCCGTTTTCGGTCGGAACGCCCTGTACTCTGGATCCAAGAACAGTGCAACACAATGCAGTGGTGATGTCATTGCATTCCATCGCCGCATGATGATCTCCTTGAGTTCCTCCTCCCCGCTTCGGCAAAGTGCTTGCTTGCCCTTAATTTCTCCGTTGCGTTGTCCATATGGGTGTACACCTTACTAATGGTGGGGCTCGCGCCGTCGACCTTCTTCAAAAGTTTGAGCAGGTGCTTGGACATCTGCATCACCTTCTCGACATGCGCTCAGAAGGTGTTGTCCAAGATGGAATGGGTCGCCTTCACAAACAGTTCGCGCTACGAAGTGTGCACGATTGCTGGCTTCCAGTCATCATTTGTCACACACTCATGCAATGGCAAATACAACCTCTACAGGCTCGACATCATGATGAACTTGGTGGCAAATCGGGTCGAACCCGGTTTTGACATGACACCGCCATTGGAATAGTGGATCAGGAGGTCCCACACCTGCGAATGGTTCGTGAAGAACTTGCAACTTCCGATACCCTCTTTATTATTGCATTGACCCACCCGATCTTCCTGAACTCGAACATCAAGTCGAGGGAGTGTGCTATGCACGGGACAGAGAAGATGTGCGGGTAATCTGCTTCAATTATTCGCCTCGCAGCCATAATGACCACCACCATGCCTCCACACCTCTCCTCTATTGCCCTCTTCAAAATGGTGTAGTATGCTGAGGCGTCCTTGTTGCACCATGAGATACACACACACCTCTGAAAGATGGAGCCCTTAGGGAAGGAGACCATCATATTGATGTGTGGTCTCTGTCAGCAATCTGGCCAACCATCAAGCTGCAACATGCAGCCAGTGGTTGGCCACTCCTATCGCAACTCCACCCTCTTCCCGACCCTGCCCCTTATGAATTCGACCCTCTTCGCTCTTGTGTTTTTGAACTTCACGTACCTGAATCCTTTTAGCGCGTGCACCATTTTGTCCCAGTATTCGCTCTTCATCATGTTGAACGCAATGCATTCGGTCATCATCCAGTCGTCTATCGTGCGCTGCGTTTTCTCGTGTGTCGTAATGATAGCGGCTCTGTCCGTGATCGTCGTCTGGCAGAGCCCTACCGCAGACCTTGATGGATCCACAACTCCTAATGCCAACGTTCGTGGAGCATTCTCATCCTTTGATGACTCCTCCGTTTCGGGCTCTGTCATGATGACCCCCAACTTGGACCTGGCAGCTGACCTCCCCTTCTTCTTCTTCAAGTACTCCTCTTTTGGTATAATACCTCTCAGGCGCTCAAGGTCACATCTTGACCCCTTGAGGAAATGATCCCTTGCCCTACTGGTTGTCCCGATGTCGAGCGTATCGGCTCTTGCCTTTTCCGCAAAGTGTAGGAGCCCTCCCGACCATGTCACGCAGGAGTAAATTAAACAAAAACAAAGACAACTTAGAGATGACGCATAAATAATCCCGCGAACTGTTGAGGCGGGCGCGGTTGCATCGTCCCTTCGCCGCTCTAGCCGGGTGCGCCAGCAGTACTTCCCACGGTCCCCTACGGCAGGATAGGTTCCCCCGGGGCACAACTTATTGCCTAAGGGGTTGTCACCACCCTTAGGGGTGTATCCCCACCGAGCTACTGACCCACATGTGAAAGCTTTTAAATGCAATTGCAGAGGTAGGTGAACTGAGGGTGTTTGCTCGCTCGCTGTAGTATAGATACGCTTGGTTAACGCTAAGTGGACCCGAGCGTTGTTCGTTCCTTATGGCGCTGATCTCCTAAGTATGAAACAGATGTCGATCGACTAGGAAGGTCTCAACCAAGCGTGAAACCAAAAAATAAATCTAGTCCCTTAGAGAAAAATGAAAGTTAAAAAAACATCCACACATAGTTACATCAAAAGAAGTTGACCGTAGTCGACAAAAATATATCCAACAAGAAATAGTAACTAAAAGCATTCACCATCTGGTACATCCAATAACACAAGAATATAAATGAAATCCAACCACTTCGGGTCGAACTTGATGAACGAAAGTATCATACTGAGCCGCCAACTAGGAGTTGGTTTTGACAATAACCTTATTGCAACCGACAAGGTAGTCGGACTGCCTCAGTTTTCACTTGATGAGATCGCCGCCAAAGTCATTCATTCCACCCTACCGCTGACCTCACGCATACCCCTCTTCATACGTTTCTAACCTTATTTGATGACAGATCGCTTTGCGAATGATTCTTGATCTGTTGCATTACTTGAAGTGTTTCATTTCTCTCCCTCTAGGAAGGGGTCTGAGGTACTCCTCCTCGCTTGAGCACAAGACTCAGATCTTAAAAGTCGGGTTGTCTCCACCGAATCGGCCCCCCCAGAACAATCCACTC